ATATATATATGCATGCATGCATGATGATGAACGAACAAAAGAATAAAACATAACCAACCAAGATTTACATAGATATAATAATAACTAGAAATATCTTTCTATGTATGTATATATATATATAGAGTTATTTATGTATGTACTTGCATGCAGCCATGCATGCTAGAGTGCGTACATGCATTGTACATGCATGCACATGTAGGTATGTACATACGGTTATACATGGCTACCTACCTGCTTGCCTGCCTACCTGGCTACCTAGCTACCTAGCCGGCTAGCTACCTAGCTAGCTACCTACCTACCTGGCTACCTGCCTGCCTGGTTTCCACCTTCCAACCTGCCTACCTCCCTGCCTATACCTTTCCCCCCCCGGCCTACCTAGCTATCTACTTACCTAGCTACCTAGCTCCATACATACATACATACATACATACATTCATATACGCACACACACACAGACACTCACATGGATGAAGTGTGGTTTGGTTTGAGGTCTTTCGCCACCTCGGCGAGTCACCGTTCCGCTGGCGGGCTCCTGCAAGGGTTCACGACGTTGCTGTGTTTAAGGTTTAAGGTTCCTTTTGGTTTAGGGTTTAGAATGTTTGAAGGTTTGCATGGGTCTGAAGGGTCTAGGAGTGCATGTTTGATTAATGCGGGGGCGTATGGGGATCCTCCCCGATAGTGGCACGTGCTTTCCAGCCTTTCTCGGTTCCATCGGTTTGTCGCGGTAACCCCAATCATGGCAAGTTTGTCTGTGGATATGTTGTAGGGTTTGCGATTTGGGGTTGGGTATTTGTTTGTGATGGAGAGCCACAAAGCACATAGCTTGCAGTCGAACTGAACGATGATGAGACGTCTAAGTTAGATGATGGGTGTGAATCGGGGGCGAGATTGCCGCACCCATAGGGGTAAAGCGTTTCATGAGAAGCAGGCCTCCGGCATGCATGTACCGGTTTTGGCCATTTATAGTAAGCCTAATAGAACTCCTTGAAGGACCCTAAGGATGAACTTGCAGAGGTGGTGGCCACGAAGCCCTCCAAGTGCAAGCCATCCTTTGGCGAAGGCCCTCCTACGAGTTCGTGCTGGTGCTAGCACACGTGTGGATGTTTAGGAGTATCATAAGCAGTATAGTGTAGTGTAGGTTGGGGTTTAGAGCTTGCAGTTTCTACTATTACTTGCAGGCCAACGTAATGTTTTTTTGATCGTGTCCTCTGTTACCATGGCGGCACTGATTGACTGCTGCTTGAGGTGATGACACTGTTGGGGGTGATGCTGACGGTAGCTGTGATGATAATGCAATTGGGACTGCGAGTATAATGAAATTCAATGCTTACTGCAGTGGTAATGATGACGATGGCGATGGTCATGGCAATGGAAACGCTGAACTGACTGCTGATCAGCAAGGGCGATGATGCATGAACACTGTATAAAACAAGAATGAGCAATGCATGCCAATTATAATACCGAAGTCAATACATGCGTTATCATGGAAACGGCGGCGGTGGTACTTGATTGGTCATGTTGATGTTGGTGAAGCGGACGATCGTGAGGATGATAGGACATTTGTTGCAAAGGTAGTAGCTACTGAATGTCATTGTTTGCTTATGTTCGGCTACCTTCTTTGCATTCTTGTCATAAGCCTGCCTTACCAGAACAAGTATAATTTCTGCCTAGTGTGGTACTGTCTTTTGGGGGCCCCCTCTTAAACCAAAAGCATTATTCCGGGGCCCGGAATAAGAGTGCTGCCCAGCTAGTATTAAGTGACTACCATAGTACGAGTATGACACCGCGCAGGGACGAAGTCTTGCACCACACCGCTTTTTCAAATAAGTCAACTATGTTGACATTTGACTGTCATGACCACGTGGCTCTACAAAACCGTTCTAAAAAATCGAATCCCTGAATCTTATTACCCTGCCGCATGAGTCCCTAGAACCTCTGAGCCCTGCTACGACCTAGAATGCTGAAGCCCCGAATCTCCCCCCCCCCCCTAAAAAAAAAGGGTCCTAAGTACCTATATAGCAGAAGAGTAGAAAGTAGCTTCTCTAACCATTATTATGGCTGATCCTGTGGGACCCGATGTGCACCAAAACGCCGTATCCACAGGCTACGCCGCTGGGCGTCGCTCCGCCAGCTTTGGTCGCTCCCCGAGCTCTGCGCACAGGTCGCCGAGAAAGGACAGGGCCAGGGTTAACAGATGTCCGGGTTTGGGAATGAACATACATGTTACTATAGTTGTATTGCATTGTTATGTGAGACTATGTTGAAATATTATATTTCTTCTATATCATGCCTTATATGATGATCTGTTTATGGGATTTTGTGACACTACAAGATATGATTTGGTATGGGAAGACAAGATATGAGTTACTATGATTTGATTTGTTTCGGCATGATGTGACATGATATTGTACTGTATGGTATGATAAGATATGATATGGCATGATGTGACAAGATATGACACGATATTGTAAGAGGTATGCTATGCTATGCCATGCCATGCCATGCCATGCCATGCCATGCCATGCCATGCCATGCTGTTGTACGATATGATGTGATATAACATGATACAATACGGTGTGATAACATGTTATTATTAAGTCGCAATATATTCTAGCTTTTTACATCCGATTCTAGTCTGTTCTGCTCCATTCTATTCCAAGGGACATCAGGGTTGAAATCGCAGGATCCGGGGTAGTTGCGGAATTTAGTAATCAAGTGCAGCGGTTACGGTCCAATCGTCGAGTTCAGGTCTAGCTATGGGGGATCGCGGTAAATCCTTATCTCAGAACTCGTTGATGTGGGTCCCACAACCCGTAACCGCCGTAACCCCTAACCCTATAAACCCTAAACCCCTAAACTCTAAACCCCTAACCCCTATACCCCTAAACCCCTAAACCCCCAACCCTGTCCACTTCAGAGTCTTGCCGGCCCTGAAGACTCTCAGCCCGAGCCCAAAGCACTCAGCGCAGAGTAGCTATCTGTAGGGCTACCGGATATGTAGCTGCAATGTAGTTGGTGCTTTTGGGTTTGGGCTTTAAGGTTCAGGGTTTAGGGTTTAGGCTGCAAGTAGAGGGTTTAGGGTTCAGGGTTCAGGGTGCAAGTTAGGGGTTTAGCGTTCAGGGTTTAGGGTGCAAACAGAGGGTTTAGCGTTCAGGGTTTAGGGTGCAAGTAGCTACAACCCCAATCAAAGCACCTCTTACGGGATCAAGGGAGCAAGCAGGTAGGCCTGCAAAGTTGGACAACCCAACTACGGTGCGTACATCTCTGCTTGAAACACCTCCCTAATCCCTTACCCCGAAGCCCTAAAACCTAAACGGACCTAAAGCGTATCTACAAATCTTCAAGATCACACGAAAATGCAAGTGAAGGAGTCGAGCTCGAAGGGCGCGCAAAGACCATCGCGCTACCGAGGCAGCACTACGGTTCCCGCAACCATAATACGGAATAACATTTGTAACAATAATTGTTGTAATCATCATCATCATCATCGTCATCATCATCCTCATCATCATCATCAACATCATTGTACTAGTGATAAAAGCTTACACAACCCCAAGCCCATTCGTGCATTGAGGTGGCTCGGTCACAGGTCAAAGCCTCGTGTAGATAGCTCAGCACTTGTAATTGCGGCGGACCTTCAACTAATATAGGGGCCTAAATAATTACCTGTACTATTTGGGGGGGGTTCCTTATTATAGTTATAGTACCGTTTACCCCAAAACCCTATTCTAATCCTCTACATTAGATGTGGGATGCAGACTTGGGCTCAGTTTCTTGTTTGGGGTGCGCCAAAATTTTAAGCTAAATCGGTGAACTGCAGCCCTTGGTTCAAAGAGCCGAAGCCCTCGGTTGCAAGAGCTGTTTCGGTTGCCCAATTCTGACTACATGGTCATGGCTCGGACGACTTTCCTCCTTGCCGTGGTGTGCCTTGCCCAGCTTCCCGGTGGCACTAATGGCAAGAAGGACTCCGTCAAGGCCACCGAATCTCGAAGTAGTCCGGGACCGGTAGTGTGCCGACTGTGCGACTCACGGACTTTGGGCTGATGTCTATACCCTGTGGCCTCCTACACCGGCTCCTTCCCTCTTTCGGGTTTAGGGTCTAAAGTTAAGAGTTGACTTTGGTAGAACGCGCTTTAAACCCGCAAGGCTCGGTGCGTCTGTGCGCCAGAACATGGACCTGGCCTCAAGAACCTTGACTGCGCTGCACACCACGGAGCCTTCGCCGTTTGAGGTGCGTACCCGCGGTTGATGCTGTGTGCCCCCTGAGTCCGTGAGGCCCAGACCTGATTTTTGAAAGGATTTCCTGTTGAAGCATCCCCACGAAGGTTCCCGCTGTGAAATTCGAATCCTGGGTGTCGGGCACGACACCCTCGCAACAAAGCACTGACTTGTCACGACTTGTCGCAGTCAGAGTCAGAGACTGTGCATGCACAGTGCGTGAAGCCAATGATTGACCCATAAACTTTGTGCCAGGAGATCCTCAAGGAGCCCGGCATGAAGGAATGTGGGAAGGCAATTGAGGCCGTGCAGTCCCACCCCGCGCATCGCGAGGACGGGGATTTCTCTCACATGCCCCAGCCCTCGCGAGATAAGCTCTGAGCTTTTGTTCAAGTCTTTCCGTTACTCTTCTTGCATGGTCCTTAGCGCAGCGACAGCAAGCATCAACGTGCTAGATGCATTTTTGGGTTGCATCGGGCCTGGATGCAGGTATTCAGGCCGGAACGGGAGCCCCAGTGCGGCCTTGTGGGCACGGTGAAGTGCACATTGTCTTTCGTCGGCACCAACTTGACTGAGCCATCCTGCTGCCCCCCGGCGTGCCTGGAACCTGCCGCGTTCGAGGGCTTTCAGAAGCTGCAGACAATTTTCATGTGCCCCGTCCCCGACTGCAAGATAACGGTTTCCACCACCGGCTGATTGACGGGCTGATTGCGAGCTGAGGAAAAAAGCAAAGGCTTGTAGTGGCATGATCTTGGGCTGCAGTCATGTGCAGACCTCCAAGCCATCACGGCCAGATCCGAAGACTCCAACCGAGAGCCTTGGGCAGGTACGGCTCCTGAGCGCAGCGGCGAGGAAGCGAGGTGCGATGGAGTTACTTTAAGTGCCACCACAACGGTTGCACAATGGTGTATGCTATATAACTACATATATATATATATGTACATATATATATATATACAGTGTCATATATATATATGCTACGGTTTAGGGTTTAGGGTCGCTATAGATAGATAGACAGATAAATAGATAGAGAGATAGATAGATAGATAGATAGATAAATAGATAGCTAGATAGATAGATAGATAGATAGACGCATAGACAGATAGATAGATAGATGCTACTAAGGGCTACCATAAGGAGTGCTACAAGGGGGTTGCGAGAAAGGGCTCTCTATGGGCTACCAAAGGTTCTAGGCATGACATCCTGAAGACCAGATAGGGCGTCGGGATGCGTAATATAGGGGCCTTAATAATTAGGATAGGGTTTGGGGGTCTATTATACGATAATCACAATAAGGAACCCCCAAAACCCTATTCTAATTATTAAGGCCCCTATATTACGGCTTTAGGTGTTTAGAGACTGAGGGCTCGGGGCCTGGGGGTTTAGGGTTTAGGGGTTTAGAGCTTAAGGCTTTGGGGTTTAGGGCTTTAGGTTTGGGAGCTTGGAGGCTTTAGGGATTTAGGATTTGGAGTGCTTTTGGATTGCGGGCTTTCTATAAGGCTTTGAGTTTGGACTTGTGGCTTAGGGCTTCGTGTTTAAGGCCTTTGGTGTTGAGGTTTAGGGCTTTCGGGTTAAGGTTTTGAGTTTAGGCTTGTTTTAGAGCTTCAGCCCTTGATGTTGATTGCTGGTTTAGATTGTTTTTAAGTCCAGGGATGCCAAAATGTCGGCTGCTCTACTGCAAGGGTTGCTAGAAGGTTTCCTCGCAGGGTTTAAGGGCTTGTGTAGTCAACTGGTTGAACATGCCCCCGTCCTTTGACTTTTTTAATATACAGACACTTGAGGAAGTGGTCTGTTAATCTGTTAATCAGGGTCTACACCTAAACGCTGCTGCCCACTGCTTTTTCGCGGTACCGAGAGAGCGCAACTCCTCGTTGAAGAATAGGCCTCAAACTGTAGATAGAGTGGAGCTTAGAGGAATTCTCGGTTTGTTTAAGGTGCATTCTTGAATCAACAGATATTGGGCTACATAGTGATCCATCCCTATAAGACCCCTCCCAACGCCCCTCCGAGCCCTTCTGATGAACCCATCGGCCTCTCCACCCCGCAGACCCTAAACCGCTAAACCTGAGCCCCTAAACCCCAAACCCCTATACCTTGAACCCCTAAACCCCAAAACCCCCTAAAACCCTAAACCTGAGCCCGTAGGGTTGATACTTGCAGGGTCTACTATTTGGGGGGGTTGAGGGTTCGGGCTTAAGGGCCCAGTTCAGGGTTGAATGTGGAGTCGGAATGATGGACGGTTTAATTGTAGTCCCGTATACGCCCAGTTGCATTTATAGTCGAATAGACACCAAATCCTCATTCCAATCATTACGGCCCCTATATCATTATTACGCTAAGGAACATCCATAATATAGATATAAGGCCCTTAATGGTACGGTATGGGGGCAGTACTAAACCGCCTGGACACTGGAAGCAGGCTCCTCTCGGAGATTGCCTCCTTGAATGTCTTGCTCGAAGAGTTGCAGCAGCGGACAGCTCTCCGCCCGGGCGAAGAAAACGGGGACCAGGTTCAGTGTTAAAGGGTAATGCAGGGGCCTAAATAATGACCAATGCTATTTTGGGGGCTCCTTGTTATACTTGTAGTATACTGGGCCCCAAAACCCCATTCCAATTGTTAAGGCCCCTATATTATGGGTTTTGGATTTCGGGTTGAGAGTGTCGTGGTTTAGGGTAATGGTTTGGTTTCGGGTTCAGGGTTTGTAGATCTTAAGCCTAAACCCTCAAGGTAGTAGGATGTGGCGGTTTGCAGTTCAGCGACTTTCACGCCGCTTCCAACTGTGAGAGTGAAAGAGCTCGTGCCACCCCCCCCCGGGAACTTTCACTTGAGCTTGCAACCTTCTTCAGTCAGCTGAGCCAAAATCCCGAAGTTGAAACCCTAAACCCTAAACCCTAAACCGACTTACCGTACCCTAAACCTGCATAGTCAGCGTCATGACACAGAATCCAGCAGGCCTAAGTTGACATCCCAGAACACCAAGGCCCAAATACCTATCACCGTTCTTCCTTACGGTTCCCAGGATAACTATACTCGAAAATGCTCTTCACAACTCCATTCTAACTGCTAAAAACCCTTATATTATAAGACGACCATAAACTAGAACCCGCAAGAGACAACTGTGAAAGCCCCTTTATGCACCTGCTTCCCACGAGCCTTCATGGGATTCATGGGGCCCCCAGGACCCGAATGTGTGCAAAACAGGAAAATGCATAGTTTGTTCGCTAAGGTGGTTGCAGGTGTGATCGCCCATAGACTTCAAGAAGATATAGCATCCAGTATTCTTCCACACGAATGTATGATCTGATACTAAACCCTAAGCCCCAAACCCGAAAGTGTATAATCTGATACGAACGATAGGTTTAGATCGCACGCCCATCCTTTGGCTCAGCCTCGATGAGGGCGAAAGCAAGTCCAGGTGTTCAGCTGGAGGGCAGGATTGATCCCTACGGTTTAGAGTAGAGCTTCAGGTTAGAGTTCGGGTTTATAGGGGCCTCAGGGTTTATAGGGGCCTTAGGGTTTATAGGGGCCCTAGGGTTTTTTAGGGACCTTAGGGTTTAGGGAACCTCCCAGGATCGAAGGGTTTAGGGTTTAGGGTTTATTGTGAACAAAGGCTCCCGACTAGGGCATCCAGACTTGAGTCTTGCTGGCAGTCGGCAAGTTGGGGCGGCCGCAAGAACACAAGAATTAAGTATACTCCAAGGAGAGAAACCGTGGGACCAAAAAGCAACAGTGCTCAACACTTGTTTGCATGATCCTACAAAGATTCTGCACAGTGTTTGGCCCTGCCCGAAGCTGCCACAGAGAGATTTTTTCCTAAACCCCAAGCCGACGTCATTGATCGCTGCCACGGGTCCGACGCGGAGCCATGGCGCAGGCAGGTTGGATTTTTGCAAGGGGCCTGGCGGCGGTGTTAGACTCTTTAGACACTTTATTCGAGGAGCTCAAGAAGCGCTAATAATGCGGGTTCCGTGATATAACCAAAGCCCTGTTCTATTATTGTTAGGTTATGAAGCTTTTTCCGGGCCCTATGTCATTGATCCCTCAACCGGGCATGTCTGGACGCAATTCATGTGATGATCAGATATGCTCAGTCGCAATCGTCTGTGAGCTTCGACGATACGCTAAACGCCTCTACCCAAAACTCTAGACCCCTCCCCCACCCTCAATTCTGAAAGCTCATCCCTCATCTTTTGTTGAGGTTCTGGTCTTGAAAGCTGGGAGATCTTCGGGCTTTAGCAGGTTAAGGTTTCGATGTTTTGGGGGCTTCTGGCTTCAGAATGCAGGGTTTATGGGGTTTGAGCCTGAGAGCTGAGGGTTTGGCGATAGCGTGATGGCTATTCACTCTCATCCTCGCAACCGGGGCTTTCGTCACCAGGTGCCGGCTAGGTAAAGCTTTGTTTGGGCCTTTCTTGCGGTTCCTCTCCAGTTTACCGAATCATACTTCAAAATGATAAGACGCCCCGAACTCCCGAGGCGCCTGCACTTCGAACCGCAGGTCAGAAACCCCAGTCTGTAACACCCAAACTACACCCAACCCTCCGAAACCCGCTCCCACCTCTGTCATTGAGGGCCCTCCCTGCAGCTCTTTGCCGGCGCCCTCGACGGAGGTGCGAAGCAGTGAGGCGGAGGTTGAAGGGTTCGGCTTTCTGTGGCCTAGAGCTTGAATAAGGCTCGGTGTTTAGGGTGCAGGGTTTTCAGCAGGATGTTTTAGGCCAGGCTTGGCGTTAGAGTTTCGGACCAAAGTTCGTCACGCTGCACGCATGTAGTGCTGCGTCGTTCAGCGACAACTTACTGATGCCTTCTTGGCGTTTTTTGTGCATTCCACCATCGTCATCATCGCCCTCAGCATCATTTGTAGCACCATCACTGCCTCAAACCCCGTCATCTACTTATTATCACCATCGGTGATGATCATCATCATGATCATCATCGCCACCATCACCATCACCATCATCATCACCATCTTCATCAGCATCATCACCATCATCACCCTAAGCCCTAGGCCCTAAACCCCAAGCCCTATTCGAAGAGGCGCTGACTCCTCGCACACCTCCCGGCTCGGTCAGGCCGCTGGGTCACTGGGCATTGGGTCTGCATCGTTTCATGTCTAGAGTCGCAGTTGATCTGTATGAGCTAGGCAAATAGGTACTTAGGCAAGTAGGTGGGTGGGTCGGTGCGCAAGCGGGTATGGCGGTATGTATGCAATCTGCTAGGTCTGTTCGTGTGCATGCAGGGATGGAGGCATGGGAGGACATGTGTGTGTGTGTGTGTCTCTGTGTGTGTCGTGTGTGTGTGTGTGTGCGCGCGTGTGTGTGCTGAGTGTAATGCTGTTTGTTGACGACCAAGAGCAAAGGGAGAGGAGGAAAGAAAAGTCAGTACAAATCGACAAGGAGAGTGAGGTAGGTGGGGACAGCAGTGACGATAGAGAGGATTACACATGGACTGTAGTGTTTCAGGTGTAAGGTTCACGGTTAAAGTGGATCGGTTTCAGGTGTACCAATCGGCAAGAGCCTTGTCCTTACAATCCTTGCAACTTCTAAACCCTCGAAGTCCCACCACCTCAAAATCCAAGAAGTTTCCCTTTCACGTTTCGGGGGATGAGGTTTTCAGGCGTCGGGACTTCGGGAGTAAGAGTTGCGGGGTTTCCTGGATTTCGGGTGTATGGCATAGGGTTTAGGATTTAGAGGGCTTAGGACAATCCAGTGTTGATTGGTTTTTGTTCTGGACTTCGGGTGTAGGGCTTAGGGTGTTTTTGAAGGAGCCGCTCCGAATCGTAAGGACGTTGATCCTCATTTTTGTTTGTCGATGTCTCTCTTCGTACAGAATGCTGTGGAAAACGAGGCATCGTTTTTTTCTTGATTGGCTTTGGGGATGCTTTTCGGGCCCCTGATAGTCGGATCGCCCAAAGTATGTCTCTCTGTAACCATGACTTCAACTTGGACAGCGCCAGTCTTCTTTTTGCATGACTGTTCTTGTCATCACAGCTTGGAGTGTGACAGTAGCGAATACCACCACTAGTAACGAGTACCAATCACATCTGATCGTGCTCGTCATCTTGCTGCTAGGCTAGTTTCGCCCACCCCAAGCGTCCGAGCCATAGCCCAAATTCCTAAAGCCGGAAACCCCAAATCTCAACACCACCTTACAGCCCCTCTAACACGCTTCTAAAATCCTGACAGATCCATGAAAAGCGTTTCGACAAACCTATAGCTCAATTCTAAGTCCCTATGACCCTTACTTATAGTTGTACATCTTACAAACATATACCTTTATACATAATCCGTTGTTAAGACTCTTCATGACCCTAAACCCTAACCCCTAAACTCCCTAAACCCTAAACCCAATCGAGAAGTGTACCACTTTAGAAAAACCTAAACCCTAACCCCTAAACCCTAAACCCTAAACCCTAAACCCTAAACCCTAACCTTCTGAAGGACCCGGGCCCAGACCGAGCCATCCTTTCGACACCTCGAAGGCCAGGGGCTGCCGCTGGGTTCATGGAGTTTAGGGTTTGACTAGGGTCTTTTAGTGGTTCCCCAATATAGTTAGACTATGTATGACAAGTTTGGGGCTTAGGGTTAAAGCTGGATCCTCCATAAATGGAAAAGGTTTGGAATATGTTGAAGAATCAGAGACCACGAAGGGATACTATCGGCTGTCAGCGGCTCGGGGGAGCATCGCAAGAGCATGGTGTTTCGGAGATGAAAGGGGTGAAGCCTTCTGTGTTCAGAGTCCTAGACGAGACCTTAATTTGTTCCCACAGACTCTCTGTAGGGTTTAGTGACTAGTGGGTTTGGGGCTTTCCGGGGTGCTTGAACTCGCAGACGGGAGCGGAAGCACCTGCATAACCTGCAGAACTACATGTTGTGCATGGTTCTTAAAGCGGGTCCCCTTGCGATCCCCCTGACTTTGATAATCCAGCGGGAAGCTTACCAGCATTTTTCTAGAATCGCTGTCAGTTTGAACTGCACTGGCTCGTCAATGCAAAAAGTCCTGAAATGTGACCCGGATAATCGGATAAACGTGCTAAAATGTGACCCGGAGAAGTTTTCCCCCGTGCCCTGCATGAAGAAGGCGAAACACAGTACGCCACAGGCACTAAGCCCTGACAGACCACAAAGATCAGATGATCAGTGCAAACCGACGAGAGGCGCGGCGGCAAGCCGATTGCGGCTGTGTGCAGGGAGCCCAGAGGCCTTTTTCCTTGAGGTCGGGTTGATGTAGAAGGAAGTGCTTGGCTGATGACAACTCGAGTCCTTGAGTATGCGGTGTCCACTTAACCCGTAACCGTGGACTCGTGGGCCTGAACTGCATTCCACATAGTTGTCAGGGTTGAGGTTTCTGTGTACAAGGGAGCTATGGGTTTGGGGTTCTTGCGGGCCCTCGGCTTCAAGGGTCTAAGGAGGAGGATTGTTATAGGATGTGGAGCTTGATCCCAGCTCTCTGGACTCTTGAATGCACAGACCCTCCCCAATCTTCGCCGATGGGCTTGATGTCCATATCCATCTCTATGGGCCCGGGCCTACATCACAGCAGCGTGTCGACACTTGTTTCGATGTGTAAGCCTGTCTAAGCCGTTGGTTCTTTTCTGTGCCCGTTTTTTGATGCTGCTCATCGGAAATTTGGGGGGGGGGGGGGGGNNGCGCCCCCCCCCCCCCGTTGGCACACCGTTGCTGGACGAGAGAGTGAGAGGAGTGGAAAGGCTTAAACATCCTCCTTGGCCACCTCAGCTGTGCTACTCCCCTAAACCCTACTGCCTACATCGAAGAGCATTGAGGTGTGAGAACTTGAGTTGTCTTCATCTGTTCATGAGGATTCGTTGGACCCTCCTTGTCAGATCCTATGCTTTGGCGACGGGACGGCCTGCTTAAACGGATCAAGGCACCCCAGTAAGTAGGTTGTAAGCAGGGTTGTAATTAGCATAACCTGAGTGCAAGTGGGTCTTCTATACCTTTACTTACAGCCTCCTTACGAAGTCCCCAAATCCTGTAGCCCATGAAACACCGTAGAAGGCTTCATAAATCCTTACACATCGCCCTTATTCTAAAAAAAAGCCCTAAAGAAGCCAGGCCCTTAAAGCACCTCGGGGCATGCCTTCCAACCAAGGATATCGCCGAGCATCGCGTCTGCGCCCTCAGCTGATCTGCCACGCTTTACGCCCTAGGGTTTAGGGTTTAGGGCTGGGCTTAGGGTTTAGGGCTCAGGGCCATTAGGGTTTGGAGAATTGCCCACGTTGCCCACATTGTCAGGAGAGAAGAAGTTCAGGCTTATGCAGACGATATACAGACCCATATGCAGATGCGAGCGTACATGTATGTACATAGATACATAAGCAGACTGATCCAGACTCTGAGCTACTGCGATCCGATCCAACCTCTCGGCCAGTGAGGGGCCCACACATGTGGAAGGGGGCCGAGCTGCAAGGATCCGTTACCGGAAGGACGCTCAAGCGTAAGCGGCAAACCCCTGGGCTCTGAGCCCTAAACCTTCACAAGCCCTTCAACCTTCAACCGCCATCTGAACGCCTTAACACCCCTTCGAAGCCTCAAAGATCCAAGTGCCACGGTGAAGCCTAAACACTAAATCCCCCAAAGAACCCCCTAAAACCCTGAACCCTAAACCCTAAACCCCCAAAACCCTAAACCCCCAAAACCCTAAACCCTAAACCCCCGAGACCCTAAACCCTAAACCCTAAACCCCCAAAACCCCAAAACCCCCAAAACCCTGAACCCCTAAACCCCTGAACCCTCGTAAGGTCGTGCGCTACGGCATACGGCACCTAAGGGAGGAGCTGGCGCCCGAGGCTGGAGCTGTCGGGCCCTGGTTTGGGGAGTTCAAGGGTTTTTTTTTTAATGCTTTTTTGGGAGTTCAGAAAGTTGGAGGTTTAGAACCACCGCGCACCAGGAAGATTTAGGGCCTTTCGGGTTTACGGTTCAGGGCCAGTTACGGGTATAGGGTTTACGGTTTAGGGCATAGGGTCAAGGGTATAAGGTTAAGGCTTTAGGGTTTGGGGTATAGGGTTGCTGTACACGAAAACACAGGGCTTCGCACTTCCATGATACATGATTCATGGCTCATATAGCAGGCCCGTTGATGGCAGCAGTTGATCATCCTTGCAAGTTGTGAGTGTCCCCTTCAGCGGCTTTCTTCTTAGCTTCATAAATATCCTTACTACTTGGTCTGTCCTGAACTCGCGGCTGTGTTCGTTGATAGTGCCACTTGTTGTTAAAGATTCTACAACCCTGCCATCGCCAGCCTGCTTAGTACCACTAAGAGATGTTGATCCACGGAAGTTCGCGCCTCTTCCGAAGTTTTAAGCTTTTATGCTTCGTTGAGAAATCCCTCTACGACCCTGCACAAACTCTTGACCAACTACTTCATAAGATCGTACAAAGCCCTATATAACCCTTAGCCTTGCAACTAAAGGGGCAAACTTGGGACTCCTGTTTTGGTGTTCCTTTCCGCAATGGAGCACCGAAAAGCCCTCCTGCCGCTGCTCGGCGTCTGCGCTTGGAGCCTCCAGGGTTGCGATGTGAGCTGCAGGCAGGCTCCGGGGGCTTCGGGTACGCGGTTTGGGGTCTAGGGTTTAGGGTTTAGGGTATATGGGAGGTATAGAGGTATATGTAGGGTTTAGGGTATGGGGGGAAAGGGTGTGGGGTTTAGTGCTTGGGGGACTTTCCGTTGTTGCATTGGTTTTGTTCCTGCCAGGTTTTATGCTAGGAGTGTTGCTGTCATACATTGCATCTATGTATATATACATACGCATCATGTATATATGTCCAGTGCTAACCTGTTGATGTTTTCACTCTCATACCTGCTGTATTACTGTTGTTGTGGTTGCTGTCACTACTGGTGAAGTTATATGATCTTATGTGCATATATGCTTATGCTTATTATGTATCTAGATGTATTTTGCGTCTGTATGTGTAGGTTGCCGCTAGCAATGTCAAAAATTTCTGAGTAAAGTAGTGATTGTCGAAGTCGTACTATATCGTGCGTATGTGCAAGAGCATTTGTCTCAAGATCCCGAATGTCAATTTTCGTGCTTTCGGTTCGCACAATCAGTGGTGTTGGAGTTGGCAGTGTTGCATGCATTGCTACTGGTTTGCTCCAGCTTGATCGTACGGTAACGCCACGGGGCAACAACCCTGCCTTTTTCAAGGAGCTTTAGGAGGTTGATGCCTGGAGCTTTGGGATTTCGGCGTCTGGCCTTAAAGGGCTTTGCTTTCACATTTAGAAAGGCCTTCGGCATACGCATCTCGCACCGCAACTTACATCCGAAGATCTTGCGTGGATGGTTGACGGCTTGGCACCCAAGAAAGGTACTGAAAACATCACACCCAGTCATCCTAAACCTCATGCTTTCTACATGTAAGCCCTACCCGGAACTAGAATCCTACAAACCCTGCCCTAAACCTTAAGCCCTTGGTCATAGATCGATCAGGTTTGGGGAGGAGCTGCGCTGCTACAGCGATGGGCTCGTTGCTGCCAAGGTCCTCCGCTAAGGACTTGGAAGCGCTTTGGGGTGTTTAGGGTTTAGGGCTTTAGGGTTTAGGGTTTAGGGCTTTAGGGTTTAGTCAGGGTTTAGGGCTTTAGGGTTTAGTTAGGGTTTAGGGTTTAGTTAGGGTTTAGGGCTTTAGGGTTTAAAGTTTAGGGTGTTTAGGGTTTAGGGTGTTTAGGGTTTAGGGCGTTAGGGTTTCGGGTTTAGGGTGTTTAGGGCGTAGGGCTCTATCTTATGAGGCTTTGTAAGGGTTCAACAGGGGTTTTAAGAGGGTGTTACATATATATATATATATGTAAGTTTGTAGGGGGGGTACCCAACGATGGTCTCCAAAGTACGCGGAAGTTCGCTGACCAACAAAGGACTTCCATTGGAGCCTGATCATAGGAAAGGTCAGGTGTGTTGCCACCAAGCCATCAGCTCCTGTGGATAAGATCTACAAGCCGTCAAATTGTCTTGCACACGAAGGGCATACAGCAAGCAAGTCCAAGCAAATTGCGACAGCACACTACCAAACTTGTCATTGGCTACATTGAAAGCGTCTTTTATCCACAAGTTCACCTGGCCCTAAAGCCCTAAGCCTTAGCTCCCCTTATCCTCTAACCTTTGAGCCCCCAGCACTGTCAGGTAGAGTGTGACAAGCTGGGCCAGCAGAACAGAACCACGCTGAAAGACTCCTATGAGAAAGGCTACGAGGCAGGGCTCTAGTTCAGGGTTTGGGGTCTACTTCAGCTCAGACCCAAAGCTTGTTAAAGTCCGATGGTAAGCCCTGCAGTGACTGAGCCTGACCTTAGGGTTTAGGGTTTAGGATTGTTATGAGAGGGCGGGTTTGGAAAGTCTGGACCTATCAGCTCCTAAACCCCGGAAGCTTCAGGACAGTTTCAAAGAGCAGTGGGGGTTTAGGGTTGAGGGTTCAGGGAATAGCAGGATCCGTATCAGACAGCCCGACAGACCTGCAAACCCGAAACGTGAAATCCCTGAGGGCCCTAAACACCGTAAGAGATTCTAGAAGCCCGAGCCCCGCCCCCCTCAGTCATCTCTCAAAGAATAAGAAGACACTGTAGCTCCGTACGTAATCCCCTAAACCGCGCCGCGAAAAGCTGCAGATTCCTGCGTCTTGAGGATGTCACAGGTACCCTAAACCCTATTATAAACCCTAAACCATAGGAGGCAAAAATGGGCGGAGAAGCCGCCCCCCCTCAAACAAATCTGCTGGGAGGATGGTTTCCAAGAGGCTCTCCTGCACTTCAAGGGACACACGCAGCTCGACGCGAAGCTTGAGGTAGAAGGGTTCTTAAGGGGGTCGGGGGTTGGGAGTTCGGTCTTGGATTAGTTGATGGTTGAAGCATTTTCAGAGCACCCACAACCCTAAACCATCCTAAACCCTAAACCCCAGCAATATTTAGGGGACACTTCTGCTCTCGCACGAGCGCCCGAAGCCGCACGGCCGCTGAGGTACACCTGGCTCGAGTGGATCCGTGATGTGTGCCACCGCCATGGGTTTGCACACAGACACTCCTGGTGTGTGTGTGTGCATGTATATATATATATGTTTATGTATTTATTTATAAAGAGAGAGGTCTGAATATTATCTATATATATAGAGAGAGAGAAGTCCGGAAATAAATAAATGACTAAATCAATATATATATATATTACATATATGTATATAAATATATATACATACACGATTATATAAAGCACCCCTAAACGCTATTGAAACTACTGGTAGCAAGGCCCCCATATTGTGGAAGGCAGCCCTCAATCAAGGAAGACACCTTCAATTCTGGAAGGATCTTTAAAGGATTTCAGGGTTTAGGGCTTTGGGGTTTTAGGATTTAGGGTCTAGGTTGACGTGAAACAACTGTGTTCGGTTGCAGGGGCCCCAACTTTTTCCGCAGGTTTAGGGTTTAGGGTTTAGAGAGAACAGGCACCATAACCTGCCAGGCTGATCGACCTCATCGCCATCATCACGGCATTGCTTTTGCCTGGACCTCATCTTGAGGGTTCTGTAAGGGCTTCGTAAGGGGGTTACTACTAGGTTATTAAACGGATAACCATACTTTTCCAACTTATAAATAGGGATTACGCCGAGGCCAGTGGGTTGAATCCACTTTAGTTCTGTGGTTCTATATATTTGGTGCACAGACACGGACCAGGGTCTTGATGAAGGGCTTATCTTGTAGTCGCTACTGTTGCGGTGAGGTTTGCTGTCCATGTTACTTTCCTTGTAATTGCAGCTGTTGAGGTGATTCATGATGTTGCTATCTTCACTTGAGCGGGTTGATTGGAGTATGTCGGTTCGGCCTTGGGGGTTCAGGGACGCCGGTGGCCTGAGATGAGGGCTGCTGGTTTGGTGTAATGATTGGCCTGCAGATCAGGAAGCCGATGCCGATGATCCTGACCCTGACATAAAACAACTATACACACCAACACCAATAATTAACCCTTGAATCCTAAAAGAAAAAACCTTACACCTCGACCATATATTCTCCTCATTACATATCCTCTCCGGTGATCCCTAACCTCGGTTCTCTCGTCTCGTCTAGGGCCTAGGGGTTGAAGTGAGCGCAGCCAGTTTGAACAGCTTTGGGGACGTTCTGCGCCCCCCAGAATAGAGGCTACACCGTAGATGATGGACAGGTCCGAAATTCCATTTACATCTGTTCTTCAAGTATATACAGGTTCTTTGATGAGCACCGGACTCTATTCGTGATGTATTCATGACCCATACCATGTAAGCAAGAAATCTCAAAAGGGCACAAGATGATGACACGGCGGGTCTCGGGGATGTTGGGATTGCTCTTTGTCTGCCTTTAAAAGGAAAAGGAGAAGGGACCCTACTTTGTAACAAACCGTGTATTTATTATCATCGGAAATCCTGAGTTTGAACTCGAAAGACCTGGCTGAAGCCGAAAACTTAGAGGCTTCCAGAAGGTTTAAGGATCGACTTCCGGGCTTATCGGGAACCCTGACAGAAGCCCCAACTCTAAAAGAAGCCCGGAGCCCAACAAGGATTGGCTTCACGGTTGGGCACTTCAAGACGCAACATGAGCCCGAGACCGCCTTGGGCTTCAGATCATGTCTGTGTAGACCCTTGCGGGTTCAGGGTTTAGAATTTATTAGGGTTGGTTTAGGATTTGGGTTTAGGGCTGATTAGCTTTATAAAATCCTTATAATGCCCTCGGTTTTTCAACATGTCAAAATCATAGAAGAATGCACCCGCAATAAACTCACAGTGAGGCCTGTGAAGTGATAGCGGTGGAACACAATGTAAAACTGCAGCTTTGACCAGAAAGCCCGAAATCTGAACCCTGCGCTTTATTTCGCTGACGGCTGATTTCAGGGTGTGGAGTTCACGTTTCAAAGGCTTTGGGGTACTCAAGTTTCGGGTTTTGTCCCCGGGCAGGACGTTTGCCACGACCTCGAATCGTGGGAAGCTGGCCATGCGAAGGACCGAGAACTTTGTGAGGGAGATGCAGCTGTTGACTTGTACCGTGATCCTAGGTGCCTGCATGTTTGTGTGTGTGTGTGTTTGTCTGAGTGTGTGTGTGTGTGTGTTTGTTTGTTTGTTTGTTTGTTTGTTTGTCTGTTTGTTTGTTGCTGTGTAGCGCGCACGCACACCAAAACACGAACACTCTACCTGGTCGAGATTAGTTTGAGCTGGAAGCTTTACCGACGGCACACCGAAACGATCAGAGCATTTAAGGAAGGATGAATGGTGCCACTGAGCGAGTGTAGGTATTGCAAACCGCTCGTCTTCTAGGAGCATCATTGGTTTGCAGCACATCGGCGTGCTGAAGGGCGCTGAAGCCTGCCACAACGAACAGCAAGCGGACCGTCAGGGTTTAGGGGTTTCGGGTTTTGGAGTTTGTCCGGCTTTGGTTTCGGACTTACCTCAAGTCCACTCGCGCACACGTTCTCCACTTCAAGTTCCCATCGTGTTGGGCTTTGGAAAGAGCTGCTGGACTTGCCTTTTGCGCCTTAAGTTTCCCCACTTCAGTTTCTCATCGTGTTGGGCTGTGGAAACAGTACCTTAAGGGTTTTGGGGTTAATTCGGCTTTACTTTGAGAGTGGCCCCTTATTAAGCCCTCAACCCTAGAGCCTGCAATGCGTTCATCTTTTATAGGAGTGGGAACGTGAGAGCTAAAAAGCAGAACATCATTTTGAACTGAGCCCTGACCTAGGTCGCCCCCTTGGCTTTTCCAGAAGTGCTGGTTGTGGGTTCCTGTTCCCCAAAATCGGGGTTGCATGTGGAGTCCTGTTGTCTTTTTTTTTGGTTGACTCTGATTGCGAGACCGTTCTGATTCCAGCATTTCTACTAATTAGTTTTACTGTTGCTCTTCTCTTGCTTCCATGTCTCTGAGCCCTAAACCGTAATTTTGCGGGTGTTAAGGTTTGGCAGAAGGCTTGAGTGTATGTCAGAGTGGGAGAAGGCATGTGCGAAGCCCGATGAGGCCACTTCCAAGAATAATGACACATAATTAAGTTACTAAGGTTCATAGTGAGATTTAGGGCTGAGATTCAGATGACAGTAAAGGATCCCCCAAGCGAAATGAAAGCAGCAGTTTCTAGAGTAGTGAAAAACCGAGAACGTGGCGGCAACGAGGAATAGTCGTAGGTAGCCGTACTAGGAGCAGGAAGTCCTTCACCAAAGTTCTAAACAAATCTAAAGCCTGCAAGAGCTTCGGAAGCCTGAATCTACGGGATGTCTTCGCTCTTCGAGACATCATGTCTGAAAGCTTACTTGGAGGGCGTGGCATTTCGGAAGGATCCGGCTGACCGTAGCTGGGAAGGGAAGATTGGTGGACATAATATAGAAGCCCAAGCAGCTACACTAGAGTTCGGAATTTTGGTTAGTACATAAGCCAGACATCCCGAAGGAACAGTGACTATTGATTTCTTCAGCCATGGGTAAACGGTTCGAGTTACGCCGTTTGGTCGAGATCCGGATGACATTTGCTTACCCTCCTTACCCGGCTCTTTAACAGCACACCTCCAACACGCAGACATGTATCACTTCTTGCCTCAGTGAGTCCTGAAGCCTTAAACCCCTAAACCCTAAACCCCACACCCCGAAGCCTCACCCTAAATCCTAAACCCTAAACCCTATAAACCCTAAACCCCTCAACCCCGAAAGATCCAAGTCCAACCTCCCCAACCTAAGCCGCAGGAGCACCACCGGCCGCTCCTTGATGCTCTCACCTCCTGAGCTTTGAACCCTTGCGGTTGCGGTGGGGGCGGCGGCGAAAAGGGGAAGCAGGGGTGCATAAGGCTCCATGGACCCATTCCTGGACTCTGAAAACCGTTCCTTTGCAAGGATTGGTTTCCTTCGACGAGGACCATATGAATCCCAAGAAGGCAACTATATAGGTTATTTGGGGTTCGGGTGCAGTATATACTTAGACCCTATAAGCCTGCATTAAAGGCACTCCTTTGAGGCCAACGCATATGCGTTGTAGGCACTTGGAGCCTTCGGGGGTTGCAGAAGGGGGAAAAGGGTTTAGGGTTTAGGGCTAGGGTTTAGCGACATGTAAGACTGAAACTCAAGCTCTAGACCTTATGAGCCCAAGTACAGTCAGTTTGACGTATGAACGGAGAATATGTGGATATTTTTAGGGTTAAGCTTCAGCCTAAAACAACAGACCCGATTACTGACGCGAAGTTATCATGTAGGCTTCGAGCAAAGCCCCTCATGTAAAGCTTAAGAAAACCCTAAAAACTCAGATCCCGAGCCCCATTTCGCAAAGCCAGGGAAACCCTAAACCCTGAACCTATAGACCCTAAACCTATAAACCCTAAATCATAAACCGTAACCCCTAAACCGCAGAAACTTCAATCGAGACAACGACCCCACACTTTGCAGGGATCGGACCTACCAGCGCTCCCACGGCGGCCATTGCCCCAAGGGCCTTGCGATGCCTAGACACGGCAGCAGTTTCGGCATTTAGATTTTCTGGCTTGGGGCCGTTTATAAGGTTTCAGGTGTATGGTTTAGGACTTAGGGGCCTAGGGTTTCTAGGCTTTGGGATTTTGACTCGTGCTAGAGATCGGCGCTGCGGACGAGGGATTTTGGGCCGTTGGGGTTCCCGAGCCGCAATGTGGGTCGGATGCGTCGAGAGCCAGGGAGTTGGGCAGGACTTTGGACAGTAACTTAGACTATACTATACTACTATACTATACTACTGACATATACTAGATTATAATTTCAGGAATATGTCATCTTATAGAGTATCTTATCCTATACTAACACGCACCAAGTGGTGCCGGGCTTGAAGCGCAAAGCAGTGCTCGACTTACGGGGTCAGATCCGTGCAGAAGCACTGACTGCTTTGCGGACCATCGATTTGGGGTTGAGGGTTTAGTGGTGCGGGGTTGGGGGTGAAGGGTTTAGTGGTGTAGGGTTGGGGGTTTGGGGTTTAGGGTTTAGTGGTGTGGGTTCGGAGGTTTAGGGTTTAGGGTTTGGTGGTGTAGGGTTTGGGGTTAAGGGTGTCGAAAGCTTCGTGGGCCTTCAATGATCAGCAGCGATGGCCGGGGCAGCTTTGGATCCTTGACTCCTTAAGTTTTCAACCCCAAATAACCCCTTGTCCCGTAAACCCTGAAGCTCTTAGCTGCAATTAAAGTGGCTTTGCATGGATGGATGGATGGATGGATGGATGGAGGGATGGATAGCATTGTGCAGAAGAAACGGAACTGGAGAGATGCCATCCGCACTATGCGCCCGCGAGACTCTAGGAAACCCCAAGTCCGAAATACGAGGCTCCGGCTAAACTGAATGCCTCTTAGCCTGGGATCACCCAAATCCGAAGCCCTGCAAGAGCTTCGCAGACAGCAATTCAGAAACCGACGGTTTAGGGTTTAGGGTTTAGGCTTTCGGGTTTAGGGTTTTCGGGTTTAACAGAGCCCAACACAATCCAAGTTTGTTAGAGCAACACGCCAAACCTTGCAAAAGCCGACCTAAGTTGCTAAGGGCTTACTGTGAGGAATACCTTATAAAACTCCTCTACAGCCCAAACCTTTTTTAAACTAGTATGCGTTTTTTGAACGCTTGTCAACAGTTAGAACACTGACAGAACCGTATGAAGCCCTTACAGCACCCTTATAGCACCGTCATAGAACCTCATACAGTCTGTACAGAACCCTGAAAGAGCGCGGACACCGTCCTTAGTAAGCCCTGATTCTTATAACAAGCTTAACCCTGAACCTAAAACCTAAACTGAAACAAGATGAACCGTACCCCTAGGGCACCAATCTGTGGCCTAATCAAATGCTATACAGTATGTAGGTGCAGTCAGCCTTACAACTCCTAAACCCTATAAACCCTAAACCCTACACCCTAAACCCCGAACCCTAAACCCTACACCCTAAACCCCGAACCCTAAACCCTAAACCCTAAACCCTATTAAACCCTAAACCCTAAACCGCAATCGGGCACCCAGGCCGAACGGCACGTCGCGGCTACTCCAGCGCTCTTTCTTTGAGCGGCTCTTATCGGAGCAGGCCGCAACCGCCACATCCAAGAACGCACTGCTGCGGTATAGGGTTTAGGGCTTGGGTATGTCTTAGGAGCCTTGGAAAATATGCATTTCTGGGGGGGTTTGGGGCTGCTCGGATATTCTTGGAGGTGTTGCTGGTCAGTTTGGGAGTTGTTTCCATGCAAGTTTGGGAGTGTAGAGACTCTCCTTTTCTTGCGGCTGCCCTCACCAGCATCAAGACAACTAGAACTTTTTTATGATTCACCGAGAATTATAGCTAAGGACAATATGACCACAGGACAGCAAGTCCCATGAACGACCGAAGCCTACAGCTGAACCGCATTCAGCCCTCAACCCCAAAATCTTTGTCAACCCCGTAAGTTCCAAACCTGTTCACAAAGCCCTTTCCTATGCAAGCTCTATAGAAAAGTGGCAGCTATACAAGTTTGTCTGCCAACCTTGTCGTGCCCCGTCAGATTGAGCTGCAAAGCAGCCTGCCTTCCGACGTGGCCGCGGCACAACCCGACCTGAAGTCGGGGATCCCGGACAGCTTCGACATACGGCCTAGCATGAAACGGACCTTAACGGGTGGTCCAGGGCTCTGTAGGCTCCTGTTGAATAGAGGGTGTGGGTTTAGGACTAGGATTCATGCGTCGGGCTTAGGGTGAGCTGTTTTCTCGGTGTGCTGGACAGGGTCCACTGCTGCTGCTGCTCACTACCGCTACCATTACTACCACGACTCCAAGGACTACTGCTACCACGACGACGACGACTACGACGACGACGACAACGACTACGACTACGACTACTACTACTACTACTACCACCACCACTACCACGACTACTATTGCTTACTATTGGTCGTACCTTTAGCTGCAACCACCACCACCACCATCACCACCATCATCACAACCGCCACTGTCGCTCCTCGTCCTCCTTTGCAGCTCATGCTGCAGTTTATGCGCCTGCTTGGGTTTCAAGGCACGTTGCTTGACCGAGGCTGTTGGACTTGGAGCATTTGCTGACCATCCGGGACGGTACCAGCCTTTGCTGTCATCTCGAGTGGTGCGGAGATGCAGGAAAGTGTAGTCAGGCTCAGGCGGCACCCAAATTAGGACGTTGATCTTGATGTGGCTCGCTTTGGGCCGATTTCGTTTTTTGTTCAAGCCTTGGGTAGCAGTTTCGGGAATCAGGTTCTTCTTGCGGCATCCTGCTTGATCAAGTTCGCTGAACGGCAAATTGTTGTCGCGTGAATTTCTGCTTCTTGATTCTGTCAACTAGGCCACATGCGAAGTAACCAGATGATAGTCCCACGTCCTTGCACAATGCAGCCACGCAGAAGACAAAAGGCTCGCCATGAAAGTAGCTAGTCGAGGCGTCGTCTGATAGTTGTGGGGAGATTCCATCAGCCATCGCTAACCTAGAGAGTAATTTGACCCTAATTTACAGAACTACCTACCCAAAAAATAAAAAGGTGCTTCAAATGCTCAGACACCCGGACACAGAAGCTTCTTAGTGGTTCCTTCTTCGTCAACAAGAAGCCCCTGAGGTTTAGGAATTAAGGTGCAGGGTTTAGGCAGTGAAGGGGTTCCGGGTTTCTGGGTTTTAGGTGTTTCTGTTTCAGGGTTTTATTTATGGGGTTTCATGTTTCAGGGTTTTTTTTGTGTTTCTTTCATGTTTCAGGATTTAGTGTCCCTGAACCTTCAAATCCCTCTCCCGCAGTTTCAGATCACAGGTCGCTTTTTTCGAGATCTTAGAGAGTAGGATGAGTAGGATCCGCAGTACGTGCAATGCCCCCTGGAGAAGGTCTCCTTATTGTTAAGAGCATCCCCAATAATGTCCTTAACGACCCGCGCCAAATCCTGGCAAAAATCCCAACATAACCCAAAAAGACCCGTATGCAGCCCTACGTTACCCCGTGAACACTTCCTTACTACACCGTCCAGCCCGTGAAGAGCCCTCGAAACCTTTATCAAAAACCCGCAGGTCTCTCTGCAAAGGCCTATCCAAGTTTGAAGAATCCACCAGGCTGCTCCGATTTCAACACTGACTCCAGGAGCTACCAGGCGCGTCCGCGGTTTGGGACAGCTTGGAATATATAGTTCGTCGAGGGGGTTCGTCTTGACGACAAGAACTGTTTTGGGGGTTGGCCGGGTTGTTTTGCATTCTCGTCAACTCTTTGGCAACCCAGCAGGAATGCCGGCGCTTGTAGAGGCTGTTCTCGACATCATGTTGCGCGGGTCGCTGGATCCGACCAGTACCGTAATCTGCCTTCGCACAGGTTCATAGCATTAGTCGTGCATAAAAAGAGTGGCATTGGATCATGGCATCAACAAGCAACGATAGCCGGTGTCGTGAGAAGACGAAGGCACCCAAGCACGAAGTACTTCCCGAAGGAGTCACAGCAGCAGCAGTAGCAACAACACTTTAAACTGGCTGTCATCTGCACCCAGAACCCGAAACTCATAACCTCAAACCCCGTGCAAGTAATACAGGCGTGGGAATAATCAGCAAGTAATACCACCCCTTACAGCCCCTGATATAGCTACAGTATATTGTATCTCGAAACCATATTCAAGTTTATTACAGAAGCCCGAAAGCCCTGCAGCCCCAGACAACCTTAAACCCTGGACTCTGCCCTAAGCCGTGAACCCTGCAACCCTAAACTGCAAAAAATCTCCTATAGAGTCTTGAAAGAAATCCTAAAATGAACCCCAGAAGGAGCCCCCCAATAGGAGCTGTTTATAGAAAGAAACCCTAAAAGGAACCCTAGGAGGCCTTCACTCGATAAGCTTTATGTCGAGACATTGAAGGTGCACCAGGCTTTTCTTGAGCAGCCCGGAACTCATTGACATAGCCATTGGAGAAGCCTCCAATGGCTGTGACTTTCTGGATTTAGCTTCTGTGTGTTTGGGGGTTTAAGGGTGTGGGGGTTTGGGGGGGTTGAATTTTGGGTTGGTCTAGAAAGAAGCTGCAGGTTGTTGTAGATTGTAAATCCGAACACACAACAACAAGCAGCAAACTGCTAAAGTCCAACTGTTCCGGATCTCTTACATACTCTTGCACTTATAAAGCGGCACATTAAGAGGTGCGCTGGGCTACTTGGGAAAGCTGAACTCTGCAACCGCTCCTTTCAGCAGCTGAAGAAGCCCGCGCAAGCCCTGTACAGCAACCTTTAGATTCTAGATGCTCTTTTAGAACCCTTAGAATTACCCATAGGCCCCTAAGTAGTTCCTTTTTGGGATTACCATATAGGATTCTAAATATAAACCATAAAAAGGAACTACTTAGGGGCCTATGGGTAGAGGGGTTCCATGGGAAAGCTTAAGCCCAGAACCCCACGAAGTCCACATCCGAAGCCCCACGCAAGCACAGTCCAGGCCACAAAGCCAACGAAACACTTGAGGATGAGACCGCTTCAAACTCGTTCGAACATGCCCAACAAATATGTCAACTTCTATGAAAAAACGAACTTCGACATGGACATAGACGGGCGTATTCAACCTTCAAGCCTCACATCCGCAAGACTGATCTAGATACCTACGGATCCTTCGACGGAACCCGGTACAGGAACCTCAAGGGGAACCCAACAGAGGCCGAGAAACTGGAAGAAGCACAGCCCAAGGCTGGAGCGACGCCTACAGGAGCTGCTAGCCGAGAAGCACTTGGATCCTGAGGAGGCACATTTTTGGAAGGCGGTGGGTTTAGGGTTCAGGGTTTAGGGCTTTAGGGTTTAGGGTTCAGGGTCCAGGGTTTAGGATTTAGGGTTAGGGTTTCGGTTTAGGGTTTAGGGTTTAGGGTCAGGTTTAGGGTTTAGGGTGTAGTAATGTAGGGTTCAGGGTTAGGATTGAAGGTTTGGCTCTTGCTTGGGTTGTTTGCTGACCTCTACGCTCTAAACTCTGCTTCCTTTGGTTTTGTTGATGGCGTGATCCTCAGACCCGGCGAAAAATTGAAGTTATCCGGAGCCAGCTGAAGCTCCGACGCGATATCTTGCATGAAGGAGTTCTCCTTGAACTATAAGGGGCATCTTTTTTCTGATGTGAAAGGTGCGTGCTTGAAGAGTTGAGGGTGCAGGCTTTAAGTTTTTCCTCAGTGTCTTTCTGTTGAGTGGAGTTGCCAGGAGCCTCTCTGTCTTGTTGTAATTTCCGCAGTTCTGGGGAGTTCTCTAAATTAGGATGCCTATTTTGGGGTCCTTTTTGTAAGGTGCCGCACTATGTTGGGTTTCTAAAAAGGGACCCTACTTTAGAGAACAACCCATAGGGCAGATCTCAATCCGGGAAAGGCATCACTCAGTAAAGCAGGGAGATGCACCCACAGGAAGATGGAAGCCCAGGAGAGTTTAAAACAAGCCCTAGCTGCAGCCGACACGACCTACCTCTTTAGTGTTTCTTGTTATGGTTTCTATATATATACATATATGTATACACTTCCTGAAAAATCAGAGGTCTTGTCTAAACCCTAGCTCCTTTTTCCCGCACACGACACTAAAGCAGATCCGTATATAGAACTTTGTACCCGCAATCTGCAGGTACCCAAAAACTTACTTTCCCCCACTCTGGACCCCAAGCCTAATCTCCTGAAATCTCCAAAGTATTCAGGTGACGGCAGTTTCCAAGCTGAAATTACCCATCGGGAGGATGACTGTGCGCCGGTCTAAGTTGTCCCTGACTGGGGCGAGGGGGCATGAGGTGGGGGCTGCTGCCTTTCAGGACTGGATTGCGGAGTAAGCCTCAAAGCCCTAAACTGTAATCCCAAAGCCAAACCCCAAACCGTAAATCCTGAACCCCAGACCCCGAACCCTGAGACCGTAAACCTGTGCGATGTGTGCCATGGTGTTGAGGCTTACCAAGGGCGTGGCGGCATTGCTGGCTGGGCAGGCAGAAGACGGCAACCCTCTCTAGTTAAGTCTATTTACCTGTACGCAAATTGTGTTGAACATGCATACATACATACATGCATACATACAATGCATGCATGCATACGTGCGTGCATACATTCACACACACACACAGACACATTTGCAGATCTCATGTATGTACTTCCCATGTTCAACACATTAAGTTCGACATCGGACTAAACCGCAACCCTTGATCCGGAAATCCCAACACCAGGGGCCTTGATAGCGTACAGCAGCTGCGTGGTTTGAGAATGTGACGCCCTCTCTGCAGGGACTGCTTGTTGGTTGCGGTCTGTGCAAATGTTTTTTGGATGTAGTCTTTATTGAGAGGTTTATTCTGTACAGTTGGTTGATGGTTCTTGTTTCTGTGCAGACATGCAGCTTCATTGTGGTGGCGAATCCACAGTAGCAGAGAGTGTGGCAGCTAATTCCCTCCAAATGACGTGCAGTTGCTTGCCGGTGCGCCACTACACCTGCGATGAACACGTCATCTTCGTTCCGACAACATCATACATACAAAAGACAGCCATGTGATGACCATCATCACAGCCCCCTTGCCATTGTCGCTAGTTGTTCTTCATCTTCATATGCAGTCGTTACTCGATACTTTCAGGATATTAATACTGATGATGGTCATCATCTTTTCTTTTTCGTCAGTATCACCATAACCTTCAACATCGTCACCTGTTGCACGCCTCATGACGACTGTCCGATTTGCTTCCGCTGTTGCTGTTCGTTTGCTTTGTCGTCTAACTGGGAGGCACCTGGGGCAGAGGGCTTTGCCGCTGCCGAGGGGCCCAGCGCAGGACTGTCAGTTAGCGGGCCGGAGCCTGGGATTATTCAGGAATCGTCGGATACCCTGACGACACTGAAGTACAACCTAAATCAAAGCAAAGGCAGTAATTGGAAAGATTTCGATTCTAGGATCGTCGCAGGGCACCCTGTAGGAGTCGCAACGTTATACTGTAAATTAAAAAAGGAAGTCGGCGATGCACAGCAGAGCCTAGACGTCTCCGTCTGAAGTGCCCCAGCGCAACGTCCCGTCTGCTGGAAACATGCGACTTCATCGTGCCTAGGGCCTGGAGTTTAATTACTTGCATGATGCTGCAAGCCACTACCAACACAAGGCCACATTCAACAACGTCCTTCCTGGTGAATCAAAGCCCTGCGTGCAGTACCTTCGCTTTGGCTGCTCCCGCTTTCCGCGGATGCTTTTCCAGACCATTCCGCGCTACTGATCTGCGTCGGGCAGGCTCGTGATGCAGTCAGTGTTGCCTTTGCAGGTACTGTTGTATGTGGTGGTGGTGGTGGTGGTGGTGGTGGTGGTGGTGGTGGTGTGGGGAGTATTGTAGTCGTCGTCGTCTTGGTCGTCGTAGGCAGTAGAAGCAGGATCAGGAGCAGGAGGAGCCGGGGGAAGGAGAGGAGCAAGGACAGGGCGAGGAGCAACAGCAGTGGCCCTCGCCTTTGACACAATTGCAACAGTCTCAGCACGGAACGCCGCAGCTGGTTCGGCCATGCCATTTCCGACCCTCAGTCCTGAACCCGAAGTCTTAGATCCAAAACCAACCCAGAACCATATGGCATTGCAGAGCCCCGTGGCAAAAGCTCGGCAAATTTCAATTGAGGGGATTGAGCCCTCAACGCTAAGCCCGAATAGCCGCTGCCAGGAACAGAAGCTACCCACGCCTGCCACCGGCGGGTACATGTCACAGGGCTGCCGCGTTAGAGGGTTCGGGCTTAGGATTGTAGGTAATTAGGTTTAGGGTTTAGGGCCTAGGGTTTAGGAGGTTGAGTGTTTGGGGTCCAGAACCCGGGCTTAGGGTCTCTGGTATAGGAAGTTGTTTCGTTGTGGTGCCATGTGATTGGGCTTCGGCTTCACGGAGACATATGTTTGAGGGCCTAATCCCTTAACCCCAGAACTCTAAACCCCTAAACACTGAGCTTAGGTCAACAACCCCTAGCACAGCACCATCCAGCAGCGAATCGTCCCCGAAGACGCGGAATCTCGGCGACATCCAGGGTGCTGTTGCTGTTCAATTTCGCAGGAGCGTGTCATGGGGGTTTCCAGAAGGATTTAGGCAGCTTTGCAGTGGTATGTTTCAGGTCAGGAGCACGGTGCGTTAGGCTGGAGTTGCCTCAAACCTTATGTACATTTTGCAATCCTCCTCTTTCAGAGGGGAACACCAGACAAACAAAGCGACTGCTAGGTGTGGGACCGGGTGTAGGGTTGAGAGCCGTTGGTTCAGACTGCACGGTACTTTCTAGTTTTCTTGTTACACCCGTGGAGCCACAGTTCGATGCTTGCACAACAGGAACTTCGTATGTTGCCTAAACCCTAAACCCTTTAACCGCTATGGACTCACCTGCATACCAAAAAGCCTGCTCTTCGGCATTCCCTACCAGTGGACTGCCGTCTTTGTAGATTCCGGACTGCGGATCTTCGCGCTACCTGGAATTACCCAACTACTTGTTTGTAGGGTCCCAGTGTATTTTCTATGCTAGGCTTTGCAAATAGGAATCTAATAAGAGCCTACAAACAAGAGTAGGCTGTCGTAGTTTAAGGTAGCCCATGCCAGCCCCAGGGTTAGGAAGCAATAACTCCGGATTTGAACGCTACAGTTCTGATGGTTTCATGTGCTACCCAGGACCCGGAAGGATGACGACAGGCCAGCTACGGTAGCCGTTTCTGTTGGGTTTGGGGTCTCGGATGTAGCTCTGCTCTCCAAGAGAGCCCAACACCAAAAATTGGGGAACATATCTTCTACAACTGATGCTCGGGACCTCTTCTTTTCTATGAAGGGACCGTGAGGTCTCTCGGTGGAAGCTGAAGCGCCGAAAGAATCCGAAACGGAGCCTCTCCTCAGCAGCTAAGGAGGTTAGGGAGTTTAGGGGGTTTAGGGTTTTAGGATTTTGGGGTTCTGGTCAGGGTTAGGGGTGTAGGGTTCAGGGCTCAGAGTTTCGTAGCCCTGCTGGCAGGTATGACGAGCCACTTACGAAGCAAGACCGGGAGATACCAGTATTACAACTACTTCAACTCGGGCCATACTTCCGCTGAGATTCATCATCGTCAGATACCAGAAAGGAAGGTTAAAACTGCTTTTGGACTGTAGTTTGCCAGTGCCACAACCCTCAGTCCTGAAGCTCTGACTTCCACCAGGCTTTCGATTCCAGATCTGACCCAGGGTCTCTTGGAGAAGAGAGCGACATTCCTTAGGTTTCGGAGCTTAGTTAGGATTCACGATTTGGGTACGTAGGTGTCAAGGCCTCATGGGCTTGGGGCTTCCCAGGTCCCAGACCCTAAACCCTGAGCCCAGGCCCCTACGCCCCAAATCAAAACCCTCAAAGCCGAAGCCTGCTTGGAGGTTCATGGGTAGTTATAAGCAGGGTTATAAGTCCCTTAATAGGGGTTATGACTATAGTTACCCTATTTAAAACCCCCACTTATAGCTACCCATGAACCCTAAAAAAAACTATAGAGCCCTTTAAAGGAACCCCATAACCCCACTTATAACTACCCATGAATCTCCAAGTGCACCGTGACCTCCGCACCAAGCAGGCCGACACAGCTGCCGTCGCCTACGGCACTGGCACGGCAAGCAGACGCCAAGCCGGCAGGCCTTTCTACAGAATCCAAAGTTAAGGTTTAGGGTTTAAGGGTTTAGGGTTTATAGGGTTTAGGGTTTATAGGGTTTAGGGTTTAAGGGTTTAGGAATCCGAAGTACAAAGATCCCCGTTTAGATTTACAGGGTTTCATGTGATCTTGTTGGGTGAGGGTCCTTGTGGTCGTTGAATAGAGGGTTGGGCATGGCCAGAAAACCAAAGCAACTGCATCGCAGCATGAGTTTCTGAATAGAGCTTTCGGGTTGTACAGGGTTAAGGATTGTAAAGTTCGCTATAGTGTTGCTCTGAAGAGTCGTTGGCTCGTCATTTCGGACGGTTTTGGGGGGCCCCACATTTATTCAGTGTATAGATCAGCGGGCAGAGGGGCTCTTGGGCTACTGTTGCTTACTGAGTCCCTGCCTGCATGTTTGTTCAGTTGCAGTTTGAGGGTCACAAGCACTTCAAGCCACCGGTGCAGTTGCCTTAGGCCTTGTTGGAAAGCTGAGGTCTTCGGAGTCTTTGAGTTACTCATGGGAGATTTTCCAGCGTCTTGAAGTTTTAAGTCAAGTTACACATTTGTTGTCGTGTATGTTTGACGGGATAGCGAATCTTTACACTACCGGCTAGTGTTTGGCTCTAGCACTCAGCCTCTCTCTCAAAAAGCGGAGAGGGTAGAGTAGACATCGAAAAAAGTGTGCCGGGGCTGTAGTGCTAGAGCAGTGCTACACATGTTGAACTTCTCGAATTCGATTTCAAGCCCTCCTTGGAGCCCTTTGGTCGAACCTCGAGAAGCTTCCCTTTTTCAAATTCGGAGACTGTGTAAACCGGGTTTTATTGGGCGACGGCTTGCGAAGATTGCCCAAAGTCAATAGCTTGTTGCGTGTAAACGAAGTCCCTTTTGGTTTCCTTCGTGGAACTCCGCAGAGAGCGCTGTGTGAGGCCTGTAGTGGCCACTGGCGAGCATGTGGTTGTATGATTCCGGGACGTTTCACCGGCTGCACATGTGCCAAAATATCAGACCGGAGACCGAAAACCGGCAGATAAAGAAACGAAACAGCGACTCTTCGCATTGCCCGTCTGTATATGTAGTGAAGCCGAAAGTTGTTTTTCAGGCGGCATGAGTTCAAACTGTATGTGCCAATTGATTTGTCCTTTGTTCAGCTTAGACAATCGTGACCCTGGGTTTTTCAAAATTTGGTCGCAGATTTCAACATTCGGCCCTAAAGGTTTGGGGCCTGGAGCGAACGTTGTGGTCGTATTTGCTCGCGTGCCAACAGATAGCTGCAGAATCACACGAAAACCGTTTGTGTGCAAATGTTCGTTCATCAGCACCTCAAAGGAAAGCAAGAATGCTGCGTGCCATGGTTTGTAGACACCGCATCAGTTTTCAGACTAATCGTTTGGCCTGCAAGTTGTGTTGCTTGGTCCCCAAAGGCATGTGACGGGAGCCGGTCGGCATGCAGCACGGGTGTGGGTGTTTTCCAGCACAGCACATAGTACAGATGGACAGTTCAAGGATTAGGCGATAGCATATTCACAATCGGGTTTTCCGGCGAGTGCGATGACCACGTC